ATATATATATATATATATATATATATATATATATATATACTATATATATATAATATATATATATATATATATATATATATATATATATAATATATATATATAATATATATATATAATATATATATATAGTTTTATATATATATATATATATAGTCTCTCAGGCAAGTACTCACGTAACAAACAACACCAGACTTACAGTTATGTACTTTACCTAGTAGTAGGCAGCCATCAGTCTCGGGAGACTATAAAGTTGCTCCCTCCAGTAGCCTATAAAGTAGCCTCTCCAGCTATGGAGAGGCTACTCCATTTGTATTTTATTGTCTATTACTTGTGTGTAATGGAAGCATGTTGATAAGCCCATAGTATGCCCCTTATGTGTAGTGGAAGCGTGTTGGTAAGCCCATAGTTTAATGAGGAAGGGGGCAGCCTTCCTTTCCTTCCTTTGACCTCCCAACACTACTTTCCTTTGCAACAGAAATACCATCATGCTTCAGAGCTTCTCTTGCCTGCTTCTTGTGGCTTTAGCACTCCTGAACTCTTCCCATGTAGTTGCTCGGTGTCTCTTGCCCTCGGCCTTGATTACTACCAGTCTAGATATCCGCCTTGCTGGAGCGACGAGCTGTGCGACTCATTCGTACAATGACCCAGAGCGTAGTAACACCTGAGTGGCACTTGCACTCCTGCCTCAGGTGGCTACATCACTTCATGTCACATCAAGACATTCTCCGAAGGGTCACACCCCAACGCCCAACCAATCACCATTTCTACATCTGGGAGACCCAGTGTCTTCACGTCTGCTTTCCTCTTGGCAAGATCTGGACCCAGTCAGGTTAGCCATCTTGTCTCCTAGACTAGGCTCTGTTGCCTCCAACCAAACCTAAAACTGGAATATTGTAGTTCAAAATTCTGGCTTCTTGCCTCCCTTTGAGTACAACAAAATGAATCTGTCTTTTAGGCTGTACAGTCTCCGTGGTGTAGTGGTAAGACACTCGCCTGGCGTTCCGCGAGCGCTATGTCATGGGTTTGTATCCTGGCCGGGGAGGATTTACTGGGCACAATTCCTTAACTGTAGCCTCTGTTTAACGCAACAGTAAAATGTGTACTTGGATGAAAAAAAACGATTCTTCGCGGCAGGGGATCGTATTCCAGGGACCTGCCCGAAACGCTACGCGTACTAGTGGCTGTACATGAATGTAACAACTCTTGTATATACCATTTGTAGTATGACTCTTACTAGGTGGGAGAGAAGCATATCTTGTCGGTACACATAACAATAACTACGAGTAAATTAGTTATCCCACTGGGGTCCATGCTTAGTATACTTCATTTATTTCTTCGTTATGCTTGATGATTGTGTTTATGATGCCCCATGTTGTCCTTGTGTTACTTTTCCGCCCCAACTTTATGTCTGGGTTAGCTTCCGTAGCATCAGCTTGTGTTTCTCATTGCCTTGCCAGTCACCTTCCTTGCTCTACATTCTGGGGGGTTCTCTGGAGGTGTCTCAGTGTACATGTAGTGCACGGGACTTGATCCTCAAGCCAGACCTGTTAACATGAGGTGATTTAAATTAAACAAAATCTTTGTGCTTGGTTATGCCTTGTCTACAAGCATGTTTTACACATTTATAGGAGTCAGTTTTGGGTGGTTGAATAAATCTCCTTTTGTTTACTTTTGTGGCTTTATACAGTACACCTTTCTCGGTACTTTCTGGCCTTCAGTCAGGAATCAGTCTCGCTACCCTTATGTCTGGTACTTCATGACATTTACTAAGGAAATTGGGTGGCCATTTACCACTGGGTGTAACTGACCTGTTTGCCACATATTTGATATTTGAATTATACTTTACTATATACAGTACCATATATAGTGCACCATCCAAAATCCAGATCTCCCTACAAAGGATGCCCCTAAACAATGAACCAAATCCACCTATTGGATTCTTCACTCTAAAATTCAAATTTGTAAAAAGGAAATCCAGATAGTTGATTCACAATGTCAAGTACAGTAATTTCCATCATTTTTTTTTCTAATTATTGCAAACACTTTGTTTCTTATTTGTAAATATTATTGAAAATATTGACTATTTTATAAAGGTTTTACTAAGCTTGCACTGTACAATGCACTAAATTGTACAAGAGAGTGTGATTTTTCTGAGGCATCCAAATCTACTGTGTTTTTCTTATGAGTGCACTCTAGCCTCTCATTACTTAAATGCTATGGAGTATCGGATTGCTTTTATCCATGCATGCACCTAAAGGGACAGGCTTTTGCAGTCTTCAACTATGGTCAGTGATGTGGGAAGCAAGCCTCCTCTCTATTATGAAAAGGATTTTGAGTTTGATACTTTTGATACAGACTTATGCTAAATTTATACTGGTATAGGGATTCAATCTGCTCAATTAGCATCTCCTCATGCTTGATCCTTGTGCCATGCCTCTGACAAGGGCACTTAAACCGCCTTGGCTTGGGATCTCTCCGGCTCCAGAGGTACTGGTGCAGGATCCTCTTGGATTGAGTGAGAACCTCTTGGCGGATGTGATGGTTGTGCCAAAGCCAACTCTACTCCGTGGTTCATCCTGTGTTTATGGGATGATTTGGAAGTCACTTTTTTCTCGTTAGGCTCCCCTCAATGGTTCCCTCAGCTACCCACCTGGAAACCTTCAATCATTGTGTACCATACAATGTTTTGTAAAATCATGAGTACCTACCAGAGACCAGGGCCAGAACTGGCCCTGGTCTCTGGTAGAGGTATAGGGAAGTCTGGGGATACACCACCACCACAATACAAAACCACCAAAAAAGATTGAGTGCACCAAAACTTGAAACTGCTTGGACAACAATAGCAACCCTGATTCAAATTATGTAAACCTTTATTATCCAAGTCCAACCACTAATTAACCCCGTTTCCAGGTGGTGTCTTTGGTAATCTGAGGGTCCCAGACAGCCATCACAGGCATCCACACACCTAATGTTCTCCCAGTACCTCATTGCTCTGTGGGAACCTGTCTCTCAGTTAAGTGTTAGTTTCTACCTTTACTACTTCATGTATTTGGGTATTTTAGTATCAACCTGTTGTGCACACCTTGATCACTTGTTTGCCTTGGATGTTTGTGGCCAAGGTTGTCTTCACTGGTTGCCTGCTGGTGTTGCTCCGCCTTTAGTTACTCTCTCTTTAACCCCTGCACTGCGCACCTGGTTTCGGCAAAAACTTCTTGGGGCAATTGTCAAGGACATATTCTTGTTGTTTTTATAAATATTCAGGTAAATTCAATGTCAAAATGTTTCCAAACTCAACTATTTTCCTTTAAAAACACAAAGAGTAATGAAAACATTAAAAACCATTAAAATATAGCCTAATTAAAAAAAATAGCACAACTCTCAAGAGCGCCTAAAGGCGCTTTGCGCAGTGAAGGGGGTTAAATGAGAGTCCACCCCTTGGGGTTGCCTCCTCTTGAGGGACCTTGCCCTAGGTGGTGCATGGGCACTGATTCCTCTGTGGGGCCTGGTGATTGAGGAGTTTTTCTATTCCTTTGGGGACAGGTTGGGTTTTGCATTTCTGGTTTCATAAACAGCTTAAGCCTCCCTAGGCTGCAGTTTACTAGGTAGTGGCTGCTTTGCAGGACCAGGCATCTCGCTTTTGTCTTTGGTGGTCACCTTCAACCTTGGACACAACAGAGTTGGAGCTCTTGCCCCTTTTTAATGAGGAAGTAGAGTCCTTTGCTATGCTAACTTGTACTAAGTTCATGCCCTCTCCTAGTCCACACTCTAATTCAGGTGTTTGGGCCATACTGGTGTTGTGAACCCAGCCTCCTATTTCCTGCCTTCCCTTGGTTCAAGCCCTGAAGCACTCCTGGACATTGGAGTCTTTTGCTCCATTGGGTTTGGGGGTTGAGAGGGCCTTTCTGGATCACTGCTTGGACTCCATTAGCTGGTGTGATTATGTATACAAGCTGTGACCTCACCTCATTTGGGAGATGGAGCCCAGTACCTATAGCTGGGATTTACACTTGAGGGATATGTGTAAAGATTTCCTCCATTTAGTTGGAGGTTCCTCATACCTTCTGTCATCTACTGTATATGATTGGCTCAGCATAAAGTTGATGTGTATGCCATTCTCTGGCAGTCCCTAACTGTTGTTTCAATCAGCAAGAGCTGTCCAGTTTCCAAGATTCAAGGAGGTTTGTTTTCATCATATGACTGCCAATTGGGTCGCAATACATCCCAGCCAGTTCATCCCACCTGCATACAGCTGCCCCGGGTGCTCTAAAGTATTTTTATTCCCAATTGCTACTCAAATTTCCTACATTTCCTTCCTCCTGCAGAGTTTTGGGGGTCATTTCACCCATAAAAGTGCAATTGTGTTGTCGATGTACCCCAGGTTTAGGCCTGCCTGACTGCCTTTTGGGCTTTGGCCCAGGGTTTTCTGGGGTTTAAATCATATGTTGGCAGCTAGCTACCACCAGGACCTTCCACAGTCTCATCAATACAGTACAGTATTGCACTACCCAAAACAGCTCAACTCTTACCAGAGAATAATTACTCTTGAGCACTATCATCGTGACCTGTTCTCCCACAAGTCAGTCCCACTTTTAATTTTCTTTCACTTCTCTAGTGTTTTAGTGAACCAAGGAAATTTAGTTTTGCTCCACTAGGATCAGTGGTGACTAGAGTAATTGGAGCTATTGAAGGGGGGAGCATAGGATTTTGAGTGTAATGAAACTACTTTCTGGGCTATTCCTTTAGAAGCTTCCTGTCCCTCCTCCCTGCTTCAGCATACCATGTGGTGGCAGTAAGGGAGAGTCACTGAACATCTTCAGACAGGTGGTTTCATCTCAGTGGCAGGTTGATCCCTAACCCCTCATGAGCTCCACCTCCTCAAATAAAAGGGAAAGTGGTTTGAAATGGTGCTTGATTCAGGTGATAAAGATAGTCACATAAGCCTGGCATACATGTCACCTGGAGTGTCAGTGCTCTAACTTCAAAGGAGCTACCAACAGAACTACCCAGAAAGTGGCATTTCATTATACTGAACAATATTTTTCACAAACCTGTACAGTACATATACAAACCTGTATTGATTATCAAAATATAGAGGAACACGTTTTCTTTGATAAAGCATTAACATTTAACCCAAAGGTAAAATGGCACACATCTGCAACCTACCACTGTTGTGTCTCCTCTTTCTTCTCCGCAAGGGCCTTCGCAAGAGCTCGATTGTTAGTTTTCAGCTTCCGTATTTTCAATTCGTATACTGCACCCATGTCAAATCCTGATGGAGGAAAAACCAGCATTTTAATGTAATGAAGTATACCTATTTCTGATGAGTCCTTAGTGGCTCCCTGGTTGCTAACTACTTAGACAACTCCACACGTCACACCAGATGGATATCGGATATAAAGAAATGAAACAGGATAAATGAGTAGTAGTAGAGTAGTGGTAGCCCTACTAATTCAACACTGGAGCTTTGAGGGATAAAGAATGCAGAGGTAACCATTAAGAGGACGTCACACTAAAAATGAGTTATGAGGAAAAGCTACGGGAATTAAACCTCAACTCTCTAGAAGACAGAAGAGATACAGGAGACATGATCACTACCTACAAAATTCTCAGAGGAATTGACATGGCGGACAAAGAAAAACTACTTAGCATGGACAGAACACGAACAAGGGGGACACAGGTGGAAACTTAGTACTCAAATGAGCCACAGAGACGTTAGAAAGCATTTTTTCAGTGTCAGAATAGTTAACAAATTGTATGCACTAGGCAGTGATGTGGTGAAGGCAGACTCCATACACAGTTTCAATTGCAGATATGATAGAGCCCAATAAGCTCATGAACCTGTACACCAGTTGACTAGCAGTTGAGAAGCGGGACCAAAGAGCTGAACCTCAACCTCCGCAAGCTCAACTAGGCGAGTACTTTTGCTTGACAACAGTGTGAACCATGAAGATAGTGATAGGCGTTATTTACAACCCTACATTAACTAATGGAAGGTCTAGGGAGGAATTCAATAAATACATCGAAACACACCTGAAGATGATAGAAAAGGTAATCATGTAACACCATCAATGGTTTGAGTCTATCACAGATTAAGAAAGTAATTAGAAACAGAGCAATGCAAAAGATGTACAGTGACCACAACACAGCTGTTGCAACATCAGGATCTAAAGTATTTTTATTCCGAATTGCTACTCAAATTGGGTTGGTACAAGAATTCAACCAACTACGAACCACTTAGTTTGATGAAAGGGAGCAGTAGAGCAACAGAAGTACACTTACATCGCATCAGGCTTGGATACCCATGTGCATGGGAAATAGGCTTACAGGTTCCGGAAGATGAGAGGAAATGTCAGCACTGTGGAGAAATGCCCGACAGAACACTGGAACATTATCTAACACAGTGCACAGTTACAAACCCATTAAGATTTCAACTTAGATTCAACAGAGCAGAAGAAGTTGTTAAACACATATGGCAAAATCTTACTGAAGCGACCTTACGAGTCAAATACTCATACTCCGCCCAAGTAAAACAGAAACAAGCAACACTTAGTGGGCCAGCCAGAGGCTTAGGGCCCGCGCAGGAATATCCCTAAAAAAAAAAAAAAAAAAAAAAATCAATGGTTTTTATTAAATATTTCACATACTAGAGTCAGTCCCACAAGATATTGGCAGCGCCAGGCTGTTGGCCTGTAATGGTATATGCACACCATAGCCCCTTCCCCTTCCCCCTTTCTCTTCTCCTTCCTCTTCCCCTTCCCTTCTCTCGCTTGCCTTCCCTCCCTTTGGGTCATCCCTGTCTTTTGTCACGGTCTAACCCTCGGGGTCATAAACAGCTTGAAGCCACTTGCTCCCCTCGCTCTCCGTCCATCTGTCCAGTGACAATTGAAAATAGTACCCCAGGGCTAATAAACTTGTGATCGCAAGTTACACGTGGGTGCCCAGCCGGTAGCCCCTCAGGAAAGTCGTTGGTGTCTTCCCAGTTTTTGGAGTTTTCTGTCAAGAGGAATTGACCCTTATGGTCAAGCCTGATCCGGATTGGTTAAAGACATGTAGGCCTGGGGGAGGCGGGGCCTCACAGGGTAGTGCCTGCCCATGCCATTGGCCCGGTTTCTAGATCACCTAGTCATGTTTAAATCCATTGGCCATAGGCTTGTGATAGGCGGAGTTAATTTAGGCCTAGGAACTAGGGGGTGGAGCCTGTCCCACTGGTAAGCGTTTTAATATAGAAGTGTTAGTGTGTCTGGGGGCCTCGACTGAGGTACAGGTCAAGTGACCTGCGGGCAGCCAATCAACACCCTTTGGCAAGCTGCAGTATTGAAGGTATTGTGCACTGATTCATGTCCGCAGTAGATATCCATTGTGCCTCTAGAGGAATAGAATAGGGTATATGTTCAAATTGACTTAATTTACAAGTTTCATAAAATAAATTGTATAACTTGTCCAGTGGTATTCACTTAACTTCCTAAAAATATATTTCTCTACTTGGTCATTTTTATGTGTTGAATTGGAAAACCCCATGTTCTCCTCCATTTAATAGATATTAAGGTTGCCCTTGAATTTAACCCTTAAACTGCGCAACGCGCCTGCAGGCTCACGTCTGGTTTGCGCAATGCGCCTCCAGGTATTTGTATTTTTCATGTTCCATTCAAAACTCCCACGGTATACATGGGGTTCACATCAGCTTCCTCAGGGCTCTTGTAAACAGACGCCATCTTTAAAAAAAATCGTGGTCCACATTCCCGGGTGTGGGAGCCTCAGTAGTGTGTGAGCAACCAAGGCTGGCGCTTGCAGCATGAACGCACAGCACTGCTGTTCAGCGTGTGACCACAGCATCGCCTAATAATGTCAAAATATATATATATATATAACTTGTATTATTTAGCCATGATAGTGTTCAAAAAGAGCCTGATTGTGATAATGACTGGGTACAATGTTCAAATATCAGTGATTCAATGCTGTTCACGATGTTCACAGCGCTAGCCACAGCATTATTTCGTCCATCTAGGAATCTTCAAATGATTTCTTAGGTTCCTTTTCAAAATAAACGTGTGGTCAATTATTCATTTACAGGAATTAGTGACCAGGATTGTGATAATAGCAGGATTGTGGTTATAATTAGCGTTGTGCGTAGTATTGTGGAAGGAGGAATTTTGGTGAGGGAGGGAGAGAATTGAGGTAGCCTCTGTGTGTGTGTGGCAGCCACTCTTGTTTTGCTCACCATACTAGCTTAGTGGTTCGCTATAGGCAACACATATGTACATGTGTATATACAGTGTGTATATAGTGTAATAACAGCAACAGGAGAATGTTGAGAGGAGCTATTTTGGTGAGGGAGGTGATGTAATCGTAGCGTCGTCTGCTGTGTGATTTTTCATGCAGTGTTTGGTGGCCACTGTACTGTTTGGACACAATAACGGCTTATTTTCATAGTTCTGGTAAATAAAACATGTAGATAGGTATATATAACATGTGTAATTAGTGTAATAAGAACAATAACAAAATGGTGAGAGGAGCAATGTTGGCGAGTAAGATGTTAGAGTGAGGGAGACTGACTGGGTGTGGCTGCTCTCACTCGAGGTGTTCTTGGTGTGTTGATGGTGAATGTATATAGTGTGTGACAGTGTATAGTGTGTAAATAGATTGTATATATACATAAATTAGCACGATACATAGTAAATATGTGCAGCATATGTGTACACAAGTATCATGCACGTAACACAGTGTCTTCGGACAGTACGGATGTTTTACTGCCATAATATAGTGTATGTGTTCATTATACATAGGATTAGCACGTAAAAACAAATAAAATGTATTTGGAACTGTGGGCAAAAAATGAACAAATATATATTCGCGGCAACTCGTGCGCCCCGCCCCGGGCATCCTACTGGCCCCGGGAGCGTACGTCATGGGCGAATGGGGAATGATGACATCACGCGCCAACTTACGGACCCCATAGCAGCCAAAGTAAGTACAATTTCGATTTTTTTTTCATACCCATACTGAGGGAAGGGTTTTTGACACTTAAAAAAAAAAAAGATTTTTTTCCAGAGAATTTATTTCCTGCGCACTGCGGAGGTGTCATATTTGGAGGCAACGCAGTTAAGGGGTTAACTAAGTAAAGGAAATTAAACAAACTATTTCCCAAAATTTATTACTGAAATTCATATTACCCGGGAGTCCCATGATTACTGATTCCTTGCCTTCCTGGGGAATCGGTGATAGACACATTCAGGTATGGTTGGACGGGAAGGTGGTGGCAGTGTTTAATGATTATTCTTATTTTTTTTTTTAATTAATAACCCTTGTTCTGGATGTACCTTCCTCATTTAATATTCCTCTTATATTCGTGGCAGTCCAGTGAGGGGTCATACTGGACTCTAACAGTGTTAAGCTGGGGTATTGAGTAAAGAGAGAAAGAGAATTACAACAGGGATAGCGTTCAGAACGATCACAGAGTACAGAGCGATTACAATGGTAATCAGGGTTATTACAGGCCTTAGCAATTAAAAAGTCACACCTTTTTAAGTGTTAACTGTTCACAGGTTGAGTAGCGGTCAGGTCGCATCAGGTGACCTCACTCTCTGCTAAGCTGATAATTGCAGACAGGTGGCTGTGTTGTTTCCATTAACCCTTAAATGGCGCATAGCTATATACCATTTGACACCCACAAGCATACCAAACAAAAAAAAAAAAATATATATTTTTTCTTCCTAACCTGTTAATTTGTGTTCACTGATCACGGGAAAAATAATAAAAAAATCGTAAGTGGCATATATTGCCCACTATAAGGCGGGGAATTCTGGCAAAAATCAGGCGCTGACTGAGCGTGCGTCCCAGGCGGTTTGTTGATCGCCAGCTGTCAGGCCGGAGTTTCCACAAAGAGATAATTACCTAATTATTTCAATGTCTCTGATTGATTTTTCGTAGTTTTTTTGCTGTAATATTATTCAATAGTGTGTAGTGTGATATATTTATATAATAAAATGAGTGAATCATCGCTGTACTCAAAAATATGGTGTGCATATTGTTGATTCAATTATGTTCATCAAACAGTGAACAAATACTTTGTCGGTTATTACACTATATACACAGGTTATATATAAGTATCTGCATGTTTTGTTCACCATAACGAACCACTAAGTTGGTATGCTGAGTGGCAGTGGCAGTGGCAGACAGTGACTGGCTGCCACTGGCTGCCACTCCCTCCCTCAACTCACCTCACCTGACTTGCCACCATTCTCCACCCACCATACTGTTTTTGCTTTTATA